TGTGTCAATAATTTAGGCTTGGTTTGACCCTTTGGTTCATGGACCTCATGGGCCAAGCGTAGTCAAGTCATCCACAAGTCCACAAGTTTTTTTTTCTTCTTTTTTTTTTTTAAGAAAATAATAAAAACAGGCTAGTCCATGAGTAAAAAACGAGCCGGTTCATCAAAAAAAGTGTTTGGTTCGTTTCATGACTCGTCTCATAATGACCTTTCATGGGTATGCCAAGACAAGGGCTTGACCCGTATGCCTCCCCTAATAATATGAACAATTTGATAATCAAAATAATAAGTTTTCACTGGAGCTGGATGTGGTCTGGTTCGGTTCGAGTTTGGTTCCATTCGATTCAATTTGATTTGGTTCGATTCTATTTAGTTCCTGAATTTCATACAGTAATTAAATTTTTTAATATTCACAACAACGTACATTAATTCAACTAGTGATATGTTCAATCTTAATCTTACAAAATAACGTAGTCAATCTTATGTATCTTTTACGCCTCTCTTTGTTGAGCTCTTCATATATTTGATTGTTAAAAGAATATTACTATGTAGCCTTACTAGGGTTACAACCTCAGTTTAGATGGCGTTAGATAGCATTACTTTCGTTAAAATCATAGAAAGAAGAAGATAACAAGCTCACAATAATGAAGAGGTATAGCCAAACTTTCAAATCGATTTTTCTAGAATTGTAGAAATGACATTACGGTGGAATAATAAATTTGGATAAATTTTAGGTCAATTTGATTAATTGGGCTTGGGTTGAAAATGAAAAATAGAAAAATCCTATTTTGGAATTTGTGCAAAATTAAATAGTTAGCAAATTTATTTAAAAAATAAAATAATTTAGTTTATTTAAGATAAATAAATTAAAAAATTAGGGAGATTCGATTATTGATTTAGAATAGAAAATCAAACCAAACTTGTCGATCCTCGATTTAAATATCCATTCAAATATTTATTCGATTTAATTCGGGTCGGATCCGATTTGATTCGAAAGTCTTGTCCAATAGTACATCTCATCATGAATTCTATAATAGTCATATAAATCATACAAGAAAAATAAAAATCAACGCACGATTCTACCACCCTCTCTCTCTCTCTCTCTCTGAATACTAAATATTGGGATAGACTAAAATTTCTCTCTCTCTCTGAATACTAAATATTGGGATAGACTAAAATCATTAATTAGTTAAATAACGTTGAACTGCCCGTATGAATAGAGCAAAGGTCATAGCTTATTGTTCAACCATCTTGAATATTCTTCTATTCTCTCTGTCCCCATGCTATTCCTATTCTCATCGTTAGGAGGTGACTTTTGGACGTGCTAAAGGATAAGGCATGACGATATATTCATCTACTTCTGATCAAAAGAAAAAAATAATAATAATAATAATAAATCTACGTAAAGTGACATGAAGTTATTGAAAATATATTTAGTACATTAAATTGTACAATTTAGACTAATCAAAGAAGAGGAGTATGTAATAATATTTATGAGCTATCTTATGTAGTTCGATGTATATTTATGAGGTCAAAATGACTTAAAATTTCAAGAGAAACTTATAATGCAATATTTCCTACGAAATATGTTAAGATATATCATTATATATTGGTATTCCACACATTGAATGTATAACTATACCTATACAAATTGAAACAACAAAATGAATAATTGACAATTAAATAATTTTGAATTAAGATAAAAGTAATGCTACTCAAACGGGGCTAGAAAATAAGGGATTTAACGGTGCTGCATGTACGGGGAAAAAAATTTTCTAACTGTCCAATGATGTTGTACCACGTGTTCCCTATTTTTAAACCCTATCAATGACCATGTTTGTGTAGCAAAATTTTAAAACAAATGTATTGGTATTGAATTAAATTATTATAAAATTCAATTTGTATAACTAATGTCCTTACGACCGTCCAATAAGTACTACGTAGTGTACGTTCATAAAACCTTTGCGGCATTAGGAAATCAAAGTTGGGTAAGATATAATTCTTTAATTTATGCTATATAGTAGATAATGATGGATTTTGGTGACACATATCAACTCTTAACAACTAAATTTAAAATTATATGTTAATAACGTGTAGTCAAAGCAGTAAATGAAGCTCATTGGTAGATGACTAATAAATATTAAATTGTTTAAGCATTGCAATAATTTTATAAATGAGATAGTCCCAACAAATCCATGCATGCTTTAGCAGATTTTTACGCTGTAATAAAAATCTATTTAAAAGAGCGATGAGATACAATATTTGAATACATATCATATTCATATTATATAAATGTGGCTAGGCGACTTAAACAGCTTAGAGGCGCCCTAAAGAAAATCGAAAATGAGTTTTTATATAGTGATAATAATAAATAATAAATAATAAAATAGAAATTAAAACACAGCAAATAATCACCAAAGTTCGAAACTCCATCGGAAAATTGTATCAGACAAAAATATTTGTCAATGATTCTGATGGGATTACCAACAACAATATTGTTAACGATCACCGGCGAAGATTCTAATGGCAATAAATATATGTTGATGATTGATACAAATTCATAAGAGATTATCGATGCTATGTTCTTGATGATTTCAACAACCACCAATAGTACTTTGATCTCGATCGTAGATGAAAAGTTGTTGGTATCACATAGAAAATTTCATTCTTTATATAATTTTAATTTTTTTTTTAAATAAGTTATTGGTTAAGATCAAATAGTCGTATTTTTTTTCCCTCTAAATTATTGCTCATATATAAATTATTTTCTTAACTATTTATATTGTCTACAACAGAGTTTTCCGTTAGTATACATTTTGTACTCTATTTATTGATTAAATTTTTGCATGTAAATTAAATTTATTAAAATATTAATGGGTTTTAATATTATTAACTGAAAAGACATTCCACCTAAATTTTTTAACTATTGTTTAATTTTTATTATATTTCTTATTTCATTTATCAAAAAAAATTTATTGGTAAGTTAAATTCATATACCGATGTGAAACTTTGTGACTAAATTTTAAATTTTTATTTCTTTATAATAGTTTTTCGTAATAATATCTTTTATTTTATCAAAAAAATATTTATTACCAACTAAAAAATTGACAAAGATTCTGCAAGCTAGAATTGAAAACTTTCAAACTTTGGGAGCTTTAGGCAACTACGCACCACTCACCACGAGGCCTTGGGCAACTAAATATCTAACTAGACTAGAGGTTGAACTCACGCAAAGGGCATGGCCTGGGAAACTGGGTTTGGCTTCAACGAGGGTTCAACTCACGCTTGAGACATCCGCCTTCTCCTTGGAGAAGATTTAACCGGCTGGTGTGGTTGCGGGTCTCGTGCCAGCCCCCAGGTTTACCTAGTGCGCACTGGTCGCCAATAGCGACTGCGGGTTCCTGGGTTATCAAAAAAAAAAAAAAAAAAAAAAGACTAGAGGTTGAGTCAAACTTTGATTTATAGTCTCATTTAATTGTTTAACTTATTACTATTGTTTAATTAAAAGCGCTCCTTCCATCAAATGCATCGTACATGACAGGATTTCATAAATAATGTTACCAAGATCAGATTCATTGGTGGACCTACTCAGGGTCTTGGTGAGTCAAGTGACCCACCTATTTCAAAATTATTCTTTTTTTTCTTTTTAAAGCCAAAAATTATAATTGGACAGTAACTACAGTTGGGGCATTTTTATTAGAATAGAGTTATTGCTATAACTGTGTGTGTGTGTGTGAGAGAGAGAGAGAGAGAGAATTGAGATTTGTCATTTGTGTTATTTTTGAGAATTCTTAGAAAATTGTTATTCATCGAGATTATTTGGAATTCTTTGAGAATTGTTATTTATCATATATATGAGATTTGTGAATTTGTGATGGTGATCACCTGTATGTGTTTTTGTAAAGTACATAATTTTTTCGTAATCTTTTAATAAGTTTGATTGTACCACAATAACTCCAAATGTCTGCATCCACCACTGATCAAATCTCAAGTATTTTCACTAACTATAAGATACACTATTATTTATATTACGTAAAAATAAAAACCCATAACATGTACGACTTATCTAATTAAAAGGTAAATTGTTCATTTTAAATAGTGTCTTTAACAATTATTAAAGTTAATTTTCATCCCTTTTAACATATACGTCTAAACATTACACATCTTTTAAGTTTTTTTGGCAGTATTCTCCCCATAAAATATGTGGTAAACAATCTGTCCACAAAAACATAAACTTTGTCCTACCATTGAAAGATCAACGTCAAGTTTTAGCAGGGTTTTTCGACATTTAATTTGACGGGTTCCTAGCGCGCACACATTTTTAGTACTTGAAAAAAACATGTAACTTCTTTGAATGTTTACTAAGACCAATAAATCATTAAAAATAATTTGTGTTTTGAAGAATCGTTTTAATACGAAATTAATCTTACTTTGAATTTAATAGTTCCCTGTTCGGTAGTGATTAAAATCACTTTTTTAATAGATTCTAATAAAAGTGAATGAAATGTGTGTTGGAAAAGTTGTGAAATTTATAAAATATGTGATTAAAATTAATTATTAATTTTAATTCAAATTAAAATCTAATCTACCAAACAAGGGCTAGGTCTGAATGCACCAAAAAAAATTCAATAATTGAGTAATGAAAATTGATGCAATAGACAATTGTGAGTGATAACGAAAATTCGGAAAAGTATACATATTTCCATGACTCCGTCACATCATTTTGTTTAAAAATCTTGCATGTTGAATTGTTTACTTTTCACAATAACAATGTCTTCAATTAAAAATTGTGATGAAGAAAAGAGGTTAGATGGACTAATCTAATGTGTCATGGACCCACTTCAGCTTCACCACCATATTATTTTCCCCTTTCTCATTTTATATTCTAAAATTCTACAATGGAAAGGAAAGGAAAAAAGAAAAATCTCATCGCAATTGAAGTAACTGAATAAACATCACAAGAAATGGGCCAAACAAAAGTGGACAACGATTCACAAGAAAATTGCTCCACAGGTTTAGAATGTCCTAAAAATCTAGAATACTCCCAAAAAAGTTTTAAGAAAAATCCCAGAAACAATGCAAGAATTAAAATTTTTAACTCAAAAATCATTCAATTCCGTGAAACTGGTCGTCTCTTTTGTTTGACATGTTCAAACCTCTCCTAGTATAAAGACCAGTATGTTGTGTAGGTAAAGCTTCATTTTTTCTTGACCCTCTCAACTCCCTACTACGCGTTCAATTTTCTCCACCACTTCCACTCCTCCTCTTTTCCGCCGCCCCCACCACCTCCTCCGGCCCCTCCTCTTTTCCCATTCTTTTTCCAGCTCAAGAGGCAAAAAGGTAACAAAATGAAACAAAAACATTTTGCATGAAATTTCATTTACGAATAGTAGCAGAATAAGCACAAATCATGTCCAATATACCAACCTCTCTTTCAGAAATTTGTCTCACTGTATTTCGCTTAGCCATGTCTATGGCTGACCCTTGGCCCTTTTCCTGAAACTTCCACATCAAAAGCTCCTGTTCAAAGGCGCCTATTTTATAAATTCCTCCATTTTCTTGAAAAAAAGGCATGGGTAAGATCCGAGGATTCTGGCTCAAACACCGGATCACCACACTCTTCCGGCGTGTTTTCCGACGGCGTTGCAGATCAGGTGGATACCGTCTTCTGAATTCGCCTGAAACCTGCCAGGCCAAACGTATTTCAAAGCTCGTAAGCTGGACCCACAAACTCAGGACAAAAGCCAAGGCTATACTTTCTAGCAATAGTGGTCTAGGCTCGGGCAGGGGCTACCTGCGGGTTGGGCAAGAACCGATTCAAGAAAAGCCGGCGCCCGTTCCAAAAGGGCATATGGCCGTGTACGTGGGTCAGAAAGATGGAGATTTTCGTAGGATTTTGGTGCCCGTGGTGTATTTTAACCACCCTTTGTTTGGAGAATTATTGAGGGAGGCTGAAGAAGAATACGGGTTTAATCATCCGGGTGGGATTACCATACCATGTCGGATCTCGGAGTTTGAGCGTGTCCAGACCCGAATCAAGGCTGGTCAGTGTAACCGGCAATCGATGACATCCAGCAGATCCTACTGGCGTTTGATGGGCTAATGGATACTTCTTCCAATGCCATGATGATGACGATATCGTATTAGAATTTTTCCTTTTCTCTATATAAAATTTATTTCTCAATTTTCTTTTCTTTCCTAGGGAGTTTTATATGTTTGAAATTTCAAGTACCATGTAAATTATAGGTGGATTCAAATCTTCATCGTTTGTAGCCTCTCATGGAACGGTCGAGTTGGTAGAGTAAGTAAGCGCAAAAGTCTTTAGTCACGAGTTCAATTTCCTTACCAATACTTTTTCGATCGAATCTGTCGTATCGGACTTGCTTAATGCGGTTTACCTGACTGACGTGATTTGCAAGCTATTGCGTCAGTTCGAGAGTTTACTCAGTGCGCATCCGAAGGATAGTGGCTACGGATTCTCTCGTCATTAAAAAAATAATAATAAAATAAAATATTCTTCAATTTCGTAGGATGAATTCTCATGCCATCTTGTTTATTCAATCACCACCACCACCATCATTATTATCATCATCATCATCATTATCATTTTGAAAAACTTGAAATATAGATAATATCTCTACATAATTTATTGTCGTTGATGTCCTTATCAATAATAATTCCAATATTGGTGAAAAATATACAATAATAACTATACTTATGTTTGATAGGAATTAAAATTAAATTTTTAATAGACTTTAATAAAAATTGATGAAATATGTGATTGACTTTGACTTTAAGGCACCGTTTATAGCCTTCCTTTTCCTATTGAACTTGGAAAATAAATTCCATTTTTCATTTTTTAAGTGTGTGATGGCAAAAAATTGGCATAGAATTCATTTTCCACTTCTTGCCTCACGTGATGACTTTTTTAGCTTTTAGTGAATTGCAATTCCCACCAAATAGGTGGGAATTGCTTTTCCAACTTTTTTTTGTTCATTGCAGATTTTTTTTTTTTTGGGCAATGAAAACAAATTTTAGAAATAGTTGTAAAAGAGAATATCTCTTAAATTTATAATTTTAATGTAAAACAAAAACAAACGAATACTAAAATATAGATGATTTTTGGTTTTGCTAGATTTATTTATTTATTTTATTTTATTTTTTGTCTTTTGGAAATGTAAACAAATTCTATAAACAAATGTAAAATAAGATATCCCTTAAATCGACAATTTTCATGAAAAATAAAGTCAAACGAACACCAAAGAATACTTTAATTTCAACATTTTTCAGGTGGAAAATTATGTCAATCAAACACTATTAATTGACAATTCCCATGAAAACAATTTTTAGGCAATTTAACTTTTCGAAATTCGTTTTATTTCCACCCAATTTTCATCTTTGTAATCAAACGGACCCTAATAAAAATTAAGATTTTAATTTTTGCCAAACAGTGAACGTGTCAATTACTGGATAAAACTGCTTTCAATGATGGAATCAATTGATGGTAATGGAAGGGTGGCGGCGCTTTGAGATGAAATGGTTGGTGGCAGATGAAAGCCGATTATGGTCGGCATGCATCAAAGTAATGTTTGTGCTACTTGAAGTGGGGATGTTGAGTGGCGGCGCATATAGTGCTTGTTTGATAGTATTTATAATTTGTGAATCATATAGATTATGCTCTTGTTTGAGTCTCATTTTAGGGGAAAAAAATATATTTTTGAATAATATATTAATAGAAAATATGGAGTTAAAAAATAAGGAAAATTTTTGGATTTAAATGTAATATTACTTTATTGAAAAATGTGTTATTAAAATGATATCAAAACACTGTTTAAAAATATATTTTTTCCGAAAAATGGGCCTCAAACAAGGGTCGTGTTAATAATAGCGAAAATTATGGTGATGTGCGTAAGCAATTAAACCCTAACGCCAAAATGTTTAAAATTCACGATTTTCACATATGAATTTAATTGATCAAAAAATATATCTTGATTCGTGACAATAATTGAGAATTCTCAATCTGCAAAAAATAAACTGTTTAATTAAAGAAATTATTCTCTCACTTTTTTTCTCTGTAATTGAATGAATTAATTGATGGGTTTCATTTGTGCTTATAAGCAAAGACATGCAATTTCCTATGGACCATAAAACTTCCCATTTTCCATCAAAGTTGACAGTTATAAAACTGTCACTTCTCAATTGGGCCAATAGTGTTTTAGCAATATTAATCACCTTTAATTAATTCTTTAATATTACATGAGCCACAAAATAATTGGTTTTATATTCTCCTACTTGGCCCATGTAATATTGCTACGTTATGTGGTATAGAATATAATGCGCATATCATAAGCTAAAATTCATCATATATTGGTTATTTAATATATCATCATTAAGTAAAGACTAATAAGAGTCATGACAATTTTACACCATCATATCAGCATAATTCCTTCCATGTACTACAGTATTAGTCCCTACCCAACATGACACATAATGAGAAGTTTAATAACTGCATTACAATAATGCCTTCGAAAAGACTATCCGTGTCAGCATTCACATAGTTCATTCACATACATGTACCAACAATTATGACATGAATAATATTCTGTCAAAAATAATACATAAATAAGCTCAAAGTGTCAATATATAAGCATCATAAATTGCATAATAATGTCAATGATAATTTTCGTTAATGCCCATTCTCTTGACATGTTCATTAAATATCTTTGGTGGCAATCTTTTCTTTAGTGGATCTGCAATCATAAGATTAGTGTTAATATACTCGATTGACACCTTTTGTTTTTGAACTTCTTCGTTAATGTGTTTAGCACCTTTTGAGTACTTCGTTCTTTGAAAACAAGACCACTACAAAATTGTCACAATAAAGTTTCAGTGGCTTGCCAATACTGTCGACAAGTCCAAGCCTTGAAATAAAGTTCCATGGCCAATTTCCTTGAACTGTGGTCTCAAAGCATGCCACAAACTCAGCTTCCATAGTGAATACAGCAATGACCAACTGCTTCGCACTTTCCAATGATATAGCCCCTCCAACCAAGAGGAACATATAGCAAATGTGAACTTTCTAGTATTCACATATCCAGTAAAGTCCAAATCTGAATACCCAATGACCTCCAAGTTATCAGATCTCGTATAAATAAGCATGTGATCTTTCGTTCCTTGCAAGTATTTCAATACTTTCTTTGCAGCTTCCCAATAATCAAGTCCCGAGTTACTTTGATACATGCCCAGCATTCTGACAGCAAAACTGATGTCTGGCCTGGTGCAAGTCTGAGCATACATTAAGCTCCCAATAAGAGATGCATAAGAAATAGCTGTCATTTGTTTGTATTCCTTTTTGAATTGGAACGACACTCGCTGAACAATTTTTCATATTAAATCTCTC